GATCAGCGTCCGAAAACACATCTCTGAGTATAGGTTTCATTACGGATGGCCACTTCGACTTGGTATCCTTCCCTTGTTAGACATGACTGTTCTTAGCATTTACTAGTTTTTCAATGTCTCGGCTGTAAAAAATTTTGACCTAAATCTCAGGTAATGGTGCTTGACCGTCGAGTTCTGGTTGAAAAACCAGGTCTGGAAATGCGACGCGACTTGTTGGGAAACCTAATAGTGTAATGTTTAGAAGAGGTCATGAGTAAGTAGAGGGTACATCATTGATTGATTTCTCCAAGGGAAGTTAAGTTAGAGCTAGTTGTCGGTTTTTGGTCAATTTTTGTCGGCTGGACCTCCCATTTCGCAGGCTTAAAATTTGAAAACTTTGCAATGATTGTAGAAGCCAAACATGCTATGTAGAGCAGACAATTCTCTTTCGAATGGTATATGAGACGATATGAAAGCATGGAATCTTAGTTTGAAATTTCTTGTTTCGACACTACTTATCGGACAACCTAATAAATTCCGAAGAGAACCTTATATGAATATTTGGTATAGCAGAACATCAGCCTATCTCCAGATTGAAACTTACTTTCCCAGCCATACTTGCAGCGTTGCAGCTGGTTGTAGACGTTGATGTGTTAGCGCTGGAGTTGTTCTCTGGTGATACGGATGGAACCTTACAAAAAAAAACGTAGAAATAGCATGGTATGAAAGAGAATGGAAACCTTGCCAATGTCTACCTTTGGACGAGCCTTGGCAATAACCGTTTCCACAGTTTTCGCTACTTGTTCGAAATTCGCGTCATCGGCGACTTCATCAATTTCGAACATAGTGATGGGAATGATTCCACTGAGAGGTTTATGGCCAGGCAACATAGGCAGCTCATCCTTCAAGGTCCATCCAGGAGGAATTTTGCCAATTCCCGAGTTATCTAGAACGAACGAAAATGAGAAGCACAAAACACCAACGATACTTTATTTGAAACATAGTTGAGCCTCCAAAAGTATATTCAAATATATAATATTCAAAGACTGTAAAGGCCTTAAA